TGAACCTGAAGGGAGTGAATGATTATACCCCAAAAGTCCCCTCTATTACATATTGGCTGAAATTAAAGTACTTTAAAATTGAAGAATGGAACAAGAAGAGCAATAAAAAATATGATGTAGAAATCGTGATTTTACTTTTAAAATGAAATTTTTAAATGTATAGGATAACCCATTTAATTAGAGTGAGGCATGTCATTCTTTAACAACTGGGTTTTTTTGTTTGTTTGTTTTTATATTTATTTATTTTTGATAGAGACAGGGCACAAGTCGGGGAGGGGCAGAGAGAATGAGACACAGAATCTGAAGCAGGCTCCAGGCTCTGAGCTGTCAGCACAGCTTCTGGCGCCCTGATGTGGGGCCTGCTTCTAAACCATGAGATCCTTGACCCTGAGGCAGTCAGGCAGCTTAACCGACTGAGCCACCCAGGTACCCCAACAACTGGGGTTTTAATTAGAAATTTTTTTTTTTAATTTTAGAGAGTGCACACACATGAGTGGGGAAGGGGAAGAGAGAGAGAGAGGGAGGGAGGCGGGGGGGTGGGGGGGGAGAGAGAGAGACAAAAAATCTTAAGCAGGCTCCATGCTCAGCACAGAGCCCAACGTAGGGCTCGATCCCATGACCCTGGGACCATGACCTGAGCCAAAATCAAGAGTCAGACGCCCAACTGACTAAGCCACCCAGGCACCCCTTAATTAGAAATTATTTCATTAATTAATCTTTTATTTCTCAAAGTATTCAAGGATAAAATTTGGTGTCCTTTCATTTTTCACTCCAAGAGGCAAATATTAATAGTACTAATTAGTTTGGATGTTTTCATCTATTTTTCCTCCCCATGACCTGTTCTAATGAACATGATATTACCAGGAGAATTCCAGCAAATCATCTCCTGTATATTTATCCATACATAAATTATATTCTCCAAGAGGCCAACCTTTTAAACCAATCAACCAATCAACCCAACCAACCTACCTGTCTAATAGTGTCAATATAGATTTAAAAACTGGTTCTCAATCACATTCATTCATTCCTGTTCTGATAGAGTTCCAGTCCTTTACAAGTACTTAATTAGTTTTAATATAATATGAAACAAAGTAGTGTTATAGTTCATTATAGGTAGTCATTCTTTTACCTGCTACAAAAAGCATAATAAAGTATACATACAAAAGTATAAAAACATCATGCAAAATATACATTTACACGCATCAGTCTCCATGTTGAAAGACAGGATTTCTTTAGGAACTGTTGCTGAGAGACTGAGATATTAAGAATACAATTATATTTAATCTAAATACAATTAACAACATACTAAACACAAGTGTTCTGAAGGGCTTTCCAAATATATTTCAGTGGCCTAATTCTTACAGGTTATAGCTTGAGTAAGCTTCTGATTGCTTGAGACCTCAGAAGTGATGGTTATAGTGACACAGGATGCATGCATTTTCATTTTTTTCCTTTCATTATAAATCAGGTTTAGTGGATACTCCTTTAGAAATTGGAACATTTTGAGTCTCCTGAAGAGCCTTGAGAGACATATTCTCAAAATTAAGGAACCTAGATAAACAAAGTTAAAAATATTTACTATATTTTGTTTGGGTATACATTCATTTCATATTCCCATTAATATATAATTGCTACATGATTAATATTCTCACAACAAAAAAGTGAAATATTTTACTGTAATGAAACATATCTGCAAATTGAGTCATTTGCCATTCTTTTATCTTCTGAAGCACTATGCTTAGAAATACTGTATCCTCAGTAGCTAATTTGTATGCAGAGGAGGAACTTGGCTAGATATAATCATTATTTGACAAATGCCATATGACCTTCTGTTTGGGGACTATCAAATCTCAAATTGGAAATGTTCATGACTACCCCTGGGATAAATCCAGCTGCCTGTTTTGGGTCCAGAACATTCACAAAAAAAAAAAAGAACAAGAAAAGGAAAAATGCAGCTGCCAACAAAACACCACCAAACCACTATAATAGTCTGCTAGAAGAGGGCTGAACAGGCCTTTATATTATTGCACAATGGGACAACCTTTGAGTTGGAATGCTCAATCCTTGCAACTCCAAGACATCTGGATTTTTTTAACCTTCTCACATTGGATACAATCTAAGCAATATTTTTATATTTAGCTCATGTGTAATTTGCAAATTTTAGTGACTGAAATTGGAAAAGTATTAGTAACTTCCCAGTGGCTTTATAAATTGGTATTGGGCTGTAACCATTACCCAGGTTTTCTTAAATGTCAATTTACCCACTAGACTGGAAGCTCCTTAAGGGCAAGGGCCACCTGTGTATTATTCATCTTTGTGTCACGTGTCACCTAGAAGCTAGCAAATATTCAATAAATGTCCATTGAGCTGAACTGACCTTGGCTGACTAAGGATGTCATATACACAGAAATGGCAAGATTGTAGGCTGGCTTGACACAAAATTAATTTGGAAACTAAAAAATGAACCGAAGACACATTGCCTGAGAGAAAACAGGCTCTCCCTGTATTCGTAATCTCAGGAATGTGGGTAAACTAAGTTTCCTTTAAACGCAGCACAAAGAGGCTGATATGCTAGTTTAACCTCTTTGAATTAGCTTTCCTGCACGACCTTATGCTTAGAAACTGATCAGGCTCCCAGTGTAGAGTGACACCCCTGATTAACACCATGACCTGAGGCCTCAGACCCAGGGGAAGGAGAAAACATACATATTTAGTCCACATCACCAAGGCAACACAGTCACTGTACCTCAGCATAGTAGGAAAAACAAGCACAGATGATGATGTTAAATATTTTTAAAGTGTTCCGTACACCCACTGTTAACAGTGGTTAGAAACAAGGATAAATTATTTCAGAAACCAGGCAATTAAAGGTTTTAACTTCTCTAATATGCGAGTGCTTTGTTTTCATTGCCATCACTCCATAGGCAATCTTAGTCAATTAACATTAACTTAGTACCAACAATAAAGGTTCAAAGTTCGGTTTTGACATCAGTGACTCAGATATTTTCTTCTTAAGAACACCAGGTGCTACAGGCCTCAAATAGGGCGTCTCATCCCTCAAATGGAAAGACATCTGACTTTGAAACCAGTAAGTCAGCATAACATGAGACCTGCTGAAGAAACATACCCGGAAAGAGGATTTATAAATGGGCTACTGAGGAGACTATTTACACTTTTATACACCAGGAATAAATAGGAAAATGTAACAATATGGAAAGTTGTAGGATATAACTGTCATAACAAAAGCAAATATTCTACAAAGAACTTCAAAAGGCTATAGAAAGTAAAACATCAGGGCACCTCTATGGGCTAGGAAAGATTTTGGCAGACATAAGCATTGTAACTAATGATGAAGCAAGAAAAATTCTCTAAGCCTTACCCCAGGCCAGATGAAATACTCCCCCAAATTTTCAACCTTCCTTTACTCTTATCCAAGTTCACCAAGAAACTTCCAGTTTCCTAATTGTTTACCCTAAGCAGACTTAGCACTATAGATGAACACATTTACATTCTAATGTGGGAATCTCCAAGTCTTACAAGTTTCATTTAGTGGGAGATGGTTTCTCAGTCTGAGGGTCAGACCCTGGATCTACAACCTTCACCTATGTTATATCTTGGGAGGCCTAGCTGCAACAGCCAGCCAAATGGTCTCCCTCTTTTTACTATCCACCCTCACCTTTCTCACCAACTTCTAACTGTAACACAGGTCACCACAATCTTGTAAATGTCTGTATCCATCTGAAAAATAAAACCACATGTCACATATTTGTAAACAACCAAATGAAAATGGCTGAGACACTAGAACAGCGAGGTTATTAGGAAGAAATGCCTATTGTCACTATGTAAATTCATAACTGCTCCTTTAACTCCCGAAAGAGCTTACTGTTCTTACTGAAATAAGTCCATGGCCTTCATATGCCACTTAGGATAGGACATACACGCTCTTTGGGGGAATACAGTAAGGACCCAAATCTGGAAGTTCTGGGCATCTGTGTAGTATGAGTTTACCCAGCTTCAGGCCAGGGCGCTAAATAAATTGAACCTGAATCTCTTCAAGCCTATCTGTGTACAGGTCATACAGGGGACATAAAAACAAGTTAAATTACTTTACAGCGATACAATCAACAAAATCCAGAATGTGGGAGAAAACTCTGTAAGACAAAACAACCAGATTCCTTCAATAATTAATTTAAAGGGAAAATACAAAGGGAGACCTTCTAGATTAAGAGACTTAAATAAATAACAACTAAATGCAATATATGGACCTTGTCTGGTACCAATTTCAAGCAAACCAATGGTTAAAAAAATGAAAAAGAGAGGCAATCAAGTTCATTTGTCACATATTTAAACAAGATATTTGATCATATTAAGAAATAGTTCTTTTTTGGGGTGTGATAACGATATTTTAGGTGTAATGATGTTTTTTAAAAAATTTAGCTTTTAAAGATACATATTTAAGTTACTGTGGATAAAATGAGATATCTGGGATTTGCTTCAAAATAATCAGGGAGTGGGGTGGGGAAGGAGTAAATGAGATATAGATGAAGTAAGATTTGCCATGAATTGAAGCTGGGTGGCAGATACAGAAAAGGTCCATTATACTACTATTCCCCACGTACTTTTACATATGCTTGGAATTTTCCATAATGAAAAGTTTAAAAATGACAACCAAACAAACAAAAAACACACACAAAAGAGAAGAGGCATTTCTAGGGTAATAGGAGAAAATTCCCAGTCCAGCTTCCAGCCCCATTAAGTAGCCAGATTCTCTGGGAGGTCGGCAGGTTCATCTACCAAGTCCTGCCCTTCAATTTTACATTATTGGCCTAAGAAAGGACATTAAGTTGTCTGAGTTTGATTACTTACCAGATACCTCTTAATGTCCAAGTCTGCTACCCAATTTTAACTGGACTTTAAGAAAAATTAAAATAATTTTTGAAGCTAACAGAATTTTAGCATCTGTTGAATTTATTCAGCATAACCACAGAGGTACTGTCTTCATGCTGTCACACACACAAACACAGATACAGCACAATATCCATATTTAGCCATGTGCATTCCTTCTGAGGCTCATTTATATGTCTTCATATGCCACAGCCCATCATTTAAATAATGGATATTTTCAATGCCAATTCCTTTGTTGACTTTCTCACTGTGGAAGGAGAAAAGCACATAAACATATTGTTATGAATTTTTATAGGCTTACTTATGGTAAATATAATTCCGAGTGCATTGCTATTTTGCAATTATTGAGCCCCATGCAGGGAATTTATTTATTACATTAATGTTATTGACTACATTAAATGACATTACTCTGCTGCAGTTCCTGTCTTAAAATGATTCTAGTGATCTAACTAGTAGGCCTTACAGAAACAAAGTAATGATGTCACCATACCAGGAGAACATCAGAGTGTTGTAATTGACTGTGGAACAAAATTAACAGGATTAATTTGGTCGTCAAATGAGTTCCAAGTTTTTCAATATATTGACTACATTTTGGTAAATATCTTTAATACTTCCTTAATAATCTATACTACTAGGTCAAAATAGAAGATAAATACCATGTGGTGCTGAACTGTGTCACGGTTTTAAAAATTAGTAGCACAACATTCTTCCCCCCAATTAAAAATTTAAGTCATACTGAATAAAAAGTTCCTGGGGCACCTGCGGGGCTCACTCAGTTAAGCATCTGACTCTTGATTTCGACTCAGGTCATGACCTCATGGTGTGAGATGAGGCAGCATCAGGCTCTGCGCTGGGCATGGAGCCTGCTTGGGATTCTCTCCCTCTCCTTCTGTCCCTACTCCCGCATCCACACGCAAGCGCGTGCGTGTATACCTTCTCTCGCAAACAAAAAAAAATTTTGTTATTTCCTAAAATACCACACACATACATATAAAACAGCTGTGTTGGCACCCGGTTCTTTTCAGAGTACTTAAGAAAGAATGCAATCCTGGAGACAAAATAGGTTTCAATGGCTTCCGAAGTGTCAGGAAAAATCAGAAACGAGGCTTCTGTGCTTAAGTATTTGTAAGATGTGATATGAATGACAGCAAATTTCACCTGTAATTCTGATGCTTCCCGCATAGGTTACCCTTTCTCAAAAGCCAAGGGGGCCTAATGTGAGACTTACATATCTTCTGCAGACATCTTCATGACTCCAACACACAGAGCATGCTGTTTTCCTTCTGCCATGATTGCCTGAAAACACACAGCTAAGAAAACTATCAAAATGCCTTGGAGAGGGGGTATCAAACAATGATCACATTACTAGTTAAGCCACTTTGAACCCATCTTGTATCCTCACCCAGACCATCAACTCAATTGAGGGCAGGGACCTAGCAGAGTCTGTGGGCACATTGTAAATATTCAATAAATGCTAAATGAATGAATCTAATAATCATTCTTGGTTTTTAAGTTAAATGTTAATACCATAACCCAATGCCAACAAAACCAAAATAAGACCTGCAAAAAAGATAAAACTTTTCATGTAAATATTAAAAACTGTGAAATAAATAAACACGATTTGTTCTAATGTTGTAATCAATGAATGCCGGTTTTATGTAATGGACACATTTTTTTAAATTTTTTTTAACGTTTATTTATTTTTGAGACA